GTATTAATTAAAAACTTACCCATGTATCTATCAATCATACAAGGGCATATCATGTTGTTTTAAAGTAATAAAACTTGAATTGTTATTGTTATTATTACGTGTGGCACGTTTGACTGATAGGTGTGATCACATGATATAATTTAGTGTAGTGGATGAATGATTGTTAATCCTTGTTAATATTTTTCTCTGCCATGTTTATAGATGAACAACTCTCCCAGTGCTGGGTCTATTTTTAGATATACAATAAAAATAAAAGGAGATGTGTTTTAATATTTCTTTACTTAGCTGAAACTGGTCAACTTTGGGAAGTTTGAAGGGGAATACTCTTTTCCTCATAGTAATACAAACTTCTAAACTCATATGGCAGTGTTTTACAGAGGAATATATGTGTGCGCATGAACGTAGAAGAGATAAACAAAAGCATGAACGGAAGTTATCTCCAGAGCTCAAGAATGGAGTTTCAGGATATATGATAATCCAACTGATGACTAAAAATCAGTGACAATGGCTGCTCTATATCATCGTCACTGACAACTAATGGTTCTTAAATAAGTTAAAAACTTTACAATGTGAAAATTGTTCAAATAGTGAAACTTAGTTGAATGGACGGCAACTGCCTGTTGTAGAAACACAACTGTAGAGGATGACGTTTAGAAAATCTTCTATCTTTCGTCTTCAGGTCAGTGCGTGTATGGTGTTGTCTGTCGTTATAGCATTCTGGTGGATTGTGGAGAGCGTGTTATGGTTGGTTAAATTATGATAAGCCAACCAATCATAATACGCTCTCCACAATCCACCACGAATGCTATAACGACAGACAACACCATACACGCACTGACCTGAAGACGAAAGGTAGAAGATTTCTCTAAACGCCATCCTCTTCGGTTGTGTTTCTACAACAGGCAGTTGCCGTCCATTCAATTAAGTTTCAGCATGAATACTCTGCCTAAACAATCTATCAAGGAATTGTTCTAATGGATTTGCAGCTTAGAAAGAGGAGCATTTTTTGCACAGTGTGCAATAATAATTCATACAGCTCTAAGTTAAGTTTTATTAATTGAAGCACTCAGAATTCTTTGTCTTAATTTATTATTATTGTTGTAATTGTGTGTTGCTATTTTGATCAGTAGGCATGTTCATGTGGAAGAAGACTGGTATAAATATTGATAACGCTGGCTTAAAAAAAATGACATCGAAAAAAGTCTGGTGAGTGTTGAAGTTCAGTGTCAAAGTTTGAATTTATCAGTGATTAAACAAATGTTGTACAAAAAGAGACTTAGTGAAGTTTAAAATAATCAGAGAGTTCATCGTTGTTGTGAAATAGACAACTTGCCGGCCTGGCTTGGCCAGGTGGTTAGGGAGCTCGACTCGCAGTCTGAGAGTCGCGGGTTCGAATCCCTGTCCCACCACACATGCTCGCCCTTTCAGGCATGGTAACGTTATAATGTGACGGGCAATCCCACTTTTCGTTGGTAAAAGAGTAGCCCAAGAGTTGGTGGTGCTGACTAACTGCCTTCCCTCTAATCTTTCATTGCTAAATTAGGGACGGCTAGCGCAGATAGCCCTCGTGTAGCTTTGCGCGAAATTCACAACAATTAAAAACAGACAATTTGCCTAGTGAATTGTTGATTAAACGTCATGCAGAAAGTGAATTAAAATGGCGGCTAATCGTCTGTTCAACAGGTAATTTATTCATTTCTACAATAATATTTCTTCCATCTTAGTTATGTTTGACAAATTACTAGATTTGATGAGCGGAAGTAAGTGAAACGTGAGCTCATTGTTTTGTCGTTTTTAGAAACTTCTATCTTAGTGAGTTTATTGTAACTTAGGTATTTTTTATTTCAGTTCTCAGTACTTGGCATTTGGTATCGGAATTAACAGTTAAACACCAATCCCAACAGGATCCATTTGAAAATCATTTACATTACATCTGATATCAGGATTAACAGTTAAACACGAATCCCAGCAGAATCCATTTGAAAGCAATATATATCATGTTTGGAATCAGGACTAAGATAATTCCAATCTCAAAAGAATCCATTTGAATCCCAGTTTATTACATTTTGTGAGTGAAATCAATACTTGAATAAAGCAGCAGGTCTGCAAAGTCGCACAGAAATAAGAAAATTTTGAGGCAATCACAACGTTGCAAAAACTTAGAAAGATTGTGAATCTAAAACTGATTTGGTATCACGGTTTTATTTTACTTTATGACTAGCCTCGACCCACAAAACATTTGCGGTAGTTTTCATGCCCTTCATTATTCTATCAGTTTCACGCACGCCATTTAAGCTATGCCTCCTTGCAAGCGTTATATGTTAGGTCGATAAAACCTGGTCTATTTGAAAAACATTTACGCGGTCAGACAAACAAACTCACGTAGAAACTTTATTTACTAAAGCTACACGTAAAGTAAACAATAAAGTAAAATAATGGTACTTATAATAGTGTACAGAGTATGAAACAGTTAAGAGTGTTCAAAGTGTGACACGGTTTTACGAGTTGAAACAAAACTTATAAAAAGAAAGAATAAAACCCGTAGTAAAGAAAAAAAGTGTATAAAAGGTGCTTATAGCAGTGTATGAAGCGAACTGAAGCTAAATTATTGCAAAGTAAAATAAATGTAAAGTTGTAGTGAAGGCAAACTTAGCTGAATATGCAGAAACGTCTGAATGCGTATTCACAAAGTGATAAGCATATGGTTTTGAACGAAATGCGTCTGCGTATTTTAGATCTAAATAAGTCGAGAAAGCACATAGAAGTCGTATTTATGTAATGTTAATTTTTTAGTAAATTACACGCGGGTTAAGTGTTGTTTGTGTGAACTACTTTGCAAATAAAAACAATTAAAGTTGAAATGAAGCCAGTCGTCACGTGATGACGACGACATTGTGCCATCATGTACCATAATCGTTGCATTGAAAAGTTTGACTAAGCAAAAAACATGTAAGATGATTCTGAATTGAAAAGCCAATATGCAATCCGGACTCATCGGACAGACAAACGTAAGCATAATACTTATATAGATGCATTACGCGAGGAAACTTTGTGTAAAAAGGTCTGGTATTCGTCATTTGTGACGATATCAACATGTTACCTCAAGAACTCGTACTCAAAGGCCCATAAATGTTGGAAACACGCTATTTTCATTCCGGTTGTATAGAGTTTGCTGTTGCTTTTAACATTACCACAACTATCTAAGAACACAATTTTCCCACAAATTCTAGAGACTGAAATATAATCTTCAATATTTTTTTTCTCTGTTCCACCAAGAATTATACAAATTTTTCAGACACTAAGGATCAATATAATATTTTAATTTCTATAATAGTCTCTAATGGGATGATCTACGAAAGAAATTTATACTATTTTGCAAAGTAATCATGTATGGTTTTGTATCACAATAATGATATTGAAAGAAGACATTCATTATTTACTTTCCTCATTATGGTAATATCTGACTTTATATCTATGATGGTCTTTAAGCTCTTACCGTAATGGTACCGAGTAATAATAAATAATTACTGTACAGTAGCATGTTATTTGTTAATTCATAATGGTTTCTCGTATCATACTCAAAGGAATTTTATAATATGTGATAAGTTAAAACAATGGAAAACACATTCTCAAGGAAAAATTGACTAGAGGCATAGCTTTGAAAATACGGCTTGGAACCATTATTTTTCTGTTTGAAGAAAATCAGTGCCAGTGAGAATTCAGATTAAACAATATGTAAAGATGAATTATTGATTTAATATTCAGATACTGTATAAAATGATTGTCCAATTTTATTTTCATCCATGTGAGTGTTTAGATATTTCTTACATAAAGTATCTGCTTTAAACTGCGAAAGAGAAACTTCGACACGTATTTGTGTGTGTGTGTGTGTGTGTATAGTAGAATTCTACTCGTAATCTGCGTGTCGCTGGTTCGAATCCCGTCAATGAACATAATCGCGACTTTAGTTGTGGATACGCTATAATGTGACGGTCTATCTCACTTTTCATCGGCAAAGAGTAGTCCAGAAGTTGGCGATGAATACTTGCCATATTTGAATTTCCACTATACTCCACTGGATATATTTTTCCGTAATCTCTTTGGCAGTCTCACATAATGTAATAGAAAGCGCATTATTAATTAACATAAACTACTTTGAGGTTAGTAATGAAACCTAGATGCTACAGTTGGGCAGAATATTTCATGGTGTGGGATACTTCAGATAGAGTTTTGTTCTGTAACAACTGGGATTTTACGACTTTTGTTATACACCAGACAGCGTTTTGTCCTCTAACAGCTGGGATTTTACAACTTTTTTTATACTTCAGATAGAGTTTTATTCTCTTACAGCTAGATTTTACGACTTTCTTTATACTTCAGATAGAGTTTTGTTATGTAACAACTGAGATTTTACGACTTTCTTTATAATTTATTGAGGTTTATTTTTAAAGATTTGACTAAGAAAGGTTATATAACCCGTTGCACAACACACACATATATACGCATACCGAGGTGTATAATACAAAATGTCCCCCACCTTACAGGTTTTTGTTTATGATCACATATATTTAATCCTTCCTGGACATTTTATTGCGTGAAAGTTACTGAAAATTCCGAGTGCGAATAACCCTTAAACAGCTTGTTATTGTTGGTCACTTATTATATTGAAATGTTTACCTCACACACACACACACATATAAAATAAAATTTCAATCTCACACATTCGAACACTGTGGTGATGTATATACAAAAAGATTATGTTACAAATAATGTGTAAACACGTTCATGGAATTATAGCAGTGGTTACGAAGTGTTAGCGTCTAGTGTTTTAGTATACCGTGTTTAGTAATTTAAATTAGAAAACAAAGTAGTTGATATAGATTTTCTTCAATATTTGATTTATTCTACAACATAGTTGTAGAAGAGTATTATCTTCACCTCTTTCTTTAGATTATAAATTACAATTACATAATCTTTTGACATTTTTCTTTTTACACCAGGGACTACTTTTACGTGCAGAAACCTTAATGAGATATTTTAAACAACAACAAACAAGACATGTGATAGTTAAAACAATGGAAATTAAATTCCTTTAGACTGCTTTGTTAAAGGATATTTTGAACATCTCCAGTACCCATGAAAGTTCAATCGCCAAAGTCAACCCAAAGCAATGGGTCTCCAAGAGGTCACCCTATGTACCAAGTTCCAAAGGAAAAATTGACTAGAGCTATATCTTTGAAAATATGGCTTGGAGCTATTATTTTTATGTTCGTTGCTGGTACCGTCATGCTCGTCGTGGGAGTTGTTTTTTGGCAAACGGGTTTGGCGATTTTTCTAAGTGGGTTTTTCTGTTTGGTACTTGCCGTACCCATGTTTGCCCTCTATGTGTGGTATCTCCGCTGGCGAAAGGTTGGAATAGTCGAAAAGGGCAGAAAAGTGCAAAACACGATATCAACAATCGGTAACCCTGAATTATACACCCCAGCTCCTCTCCAACTCAAATCCGACTATCCCATGGGACCTCTTCTCATCATGACTCTTCCAAGGACCAAGTGTTCTTCACCATCTCGCCCTGTAAATGATGCTGAAGAGGAATCGTCTCCTAATATTAGCGGAAAGATGTAAGTATATGAACAATTATAAAACACTTTTAGATATTTGAACGTAGGCTTCGTAATATTTTCTTCTTTCTTAAATGAATTAGTCTCAAACCCATTTCTAGTTTAACTCACTTTGACAAACAACATCAAAATAAAGCTCAATGAATTTATTTTTGATACAGCTTTATTGCGACAAATTTGGGTTAAAGTGATATTGTGTGAATTAAATATGACAGCAGTGCTGTTGAAAGTGTCCGAACCGGCCTGTCATGGCCTAATGGTTAAGACGCTCGTCTAGCAATCTACGGGTCGCGGGTTTGAATGACATCACCAAACATATGCGGTCGTTATAACGTATCGATCAATCCCACTATACGTTGGTAAAAGAGTAGCCCAAGAGTTGGCGGTGGGTGGTGTTGACTAGCTACCTACCCTCTAGTCTATGACTTTTAAATTAGAAACGGCTGGCGCAAATAACTTTCGAATAGCTTTGCGCAAAATTAAAAAAAAACATTCTTACTACTGAAAGCATTCGAGATACTAAATTTTAATTGAAAGTTAATTATTTATGGAGCTATAAACGTTGAGTTATAATTATTTACTTCTATCAAGATATGACACTTTCATTAAGCTAATGCATTCATTTTTACGATTTCTTACTTCTGTTGGCCTATACTTTATAAGGTTATGTTTGTAAAAACTCGGTAATAATTTTTTTATTTCCATAATGTATCATCTATTGCACTTAGTTACTTGCCGTTTTGATCTCTTTGTCGTGATAGACGAAATAAAAACAAACGTGTGCACATAAGTCAAGTATTTTACTATTTTTAACACCCACATTTTAAGGATCAGTTTCAGTTTAGTTATTTGCATCTCAAGGAAGAAGTGCGTGCTTAAGTCTACTCATATTTGCTGCAAGACGCTGAAAAATGTCTTACAGCAGGCCGGCCACACTTGAGACGCGATAAGTTAAGTAACAATGCTAGAGTCACAGCTTTCATTGGAAAGGACTCTAAACAGATTGATAACTCAGAATGAATTTGTTTCCTTGCGAGCACATATTTTCTTGATGAATTGAGTGACCAAATAAAAAGAGGCAGTCGATGGTATCGAAAGTATACTTTTCTAAATTCTTAGAACTATATTAAAAAGAGTCTTCTGTACGTTTCATTTTTTTAACTTTTCTTAGTTAACTTGAATGAATGCATACAGTAATGAACTTGAAATTATGTAAAAATTATACTTTGCAACTAAGTGCTGAACATCGAATAAATTAAATAAATAAACGTGAGATTGGACGTGACCTAGTGATTAGCGTGTCAGGGTGCGGATCGAAGATCCTAGGTTAGAGATGTGATGCTAATGGCCACGCTCGGCAATTTCAGCTGTGAGCGCGTTATAAAAGTGACAGTCATGCCCTTATTCAATTCAAAGAGCCTGACAAAGCCCTTGTGGCGGAAGATACTGCTGGGTGTCTGATTTCTCTCTGGTCACTAGTTTAAAGTTAGGGATAGCTATACTTGTTATTTAAGAGGTCTTTAACGTTTAGCACACGTACGGTTGAGACGGAAAATTTAAATTCTGAATGGAACGCATATTTGACTATTTATGAGGAATCTAAGAAAACGAATGGCCAAGTAAATGTTATCTGTAAAGTTTTTGTTTTATGGCCTATAATAAGAATATTTGTAGATTTCACATCGTAAATTTTCATTTCAATGACTGGATTGTTTGACAGAGCTTCCCGCCATTTTGAATAATTCGTTCAGTGATGACAGCGCATGCATAAATATGGGGCGAGAACAATGTTATTTGGGATGCTAAACGTCACAATCCCGAAGGTCTCGTGTGATATAGATAACCCTTCAATGTCTGGGAGTGCAGCAGTACCGGCTGTGTCTCTAAAGGTACGTGTAGATCGGTAAAAACATAAATATCCTCCCTATACTTTTTACAAGATGAAAATCCTCATTAAATGCTAATTAGTAAATAAAGCATTACGTTAGAGCCGTGTAACAAATGGCAGTTCAGTATATTTTAATCACAAGCGGTCTGACCGACAATTGTCAAAACTGAGTTTAATGACAGATACCTGAATTTCCATTTTCGCATGTTTATGATCGGTCACTTGCGAAACATTTCTATTGTGTTTAAGTTTTCACATTTTCTAATGGCCACTTGCAACAATACAACTATTGGGTTTACTTTTTTCACATGTTTGTACTTGGCCACTTGCAAAAATACTGCTACCGTGTTTAAGTTTTTACATATTTCTAATTGGCCACTTGCAACAATACAACTATTGGGTTTACTTTTTTACATGTTTGTACTTGACCACTTGCAATAATACAACTATTGGGTTTACTTTTTTTACATGTTTGTACTTGGCCACTTGCAACAGTACTACTATTGTTATATAATTTCTGTCGTGCATCGTGGTGTACAGAAGACATATTAATACTAGAAATAAACGACCTTATAACACCAAAATGTTGTTTTTATTTAATTAGACACTCAATGTTTCGCTTTATAGCTTCTTCAGGAGCGTTCAATAAAACACAAACCAAAATTTCAACAATATGCCTTACTACTTAATATGTCAAAAACACGCTGTACAAATGCACGTTATAGATTCGAATAGAATTTATTATTTAAACCATTTGAAGTTTTGTACTGTCAGTTTTGGTTTATGTTTTAGTGAACGCTCCTGATGAAGCTGTAAAGCGAAACGTTGAGTGCCTAATTAAATAAAAACAACATTTTAGTGTTATAAGGTCGTTTATTTCTAGTATTAATACTACTATTGTGTTTACTTTTTCACATGTTTTTAATTGGACACTTACAAAAAATACTGTTATCGTGTTTAATTTTTCACGTTTGTCATGGACACTTGCAACAATGTCATTTTTACCAGAATATCTCATAATAAAGCTGCATCAAAACGAAATTCATTGTCATAACAGCAGTCTCGATCGTCAAAGTCTGCTATTGTATTGCTCCATCATTGAATCACGTAAAGATCCAACGAAGATCGTCATAAGTTATTTAGAGTGTTGTTGTTGTTGTTTTTTGTTCTTATAGACAGAGGCGGAGTTAATATTTTTTCTTGTTTTTCATAACTTTTAATTATATGCGTTTCCGCGGGAAAGTTTTACTGAAGTATAACAAATACGTTAGGAGTGAATATTCCTTGAAAGAGATGGGGTGTACCAATTCGCCCTAACATTCTGCGTACGTACGTTAATTCTGTTTTTCGTGGCCATATGTACAAATGAACAACAACATCAGAGTATGCATTATTTTCAGGGTTACCGTAACTTTATTATGTCCACTTTAGTATGCTGTTTGTGTTTTATAAACAAACAACTCTATTTAACAAATATCACGTCATTACGTTTAGGGCATATAAAAATCCAAAACATATCACCATTAAAACGCGTAAACTAAAGTAATACAGAGGTTGAGCATGTTACATCAAAGCGATTTTGGAGCCTTGCCACGTCGTGATAGTCCACGTCCGATCGTGCTCTATTCGAAGACTGTGCGTCTTGACAATAGCCCTGAGGTGTAGCTGTTATTGCAAAAGGTTGTAATCTCCAGCTGCTTGAGTTATGCGACGCTTGAACTAAGCAATTTGTGTACACGTGACTCGTGTCTCTTTTTTTTTTCTAGCCACAGATCCTTCTTTATTATATTCTGTACTATTGCCTAGAACACGAGGACGTCTTTTGTCACTGAACCTTAGTGCTCGTGGATTCTCACCTATTACAAGACGCCGAAGTTTGCTTATCACGGATAGAATACGACTTGTTGCAGGTCCCTTTCTGGATGGTCCTGGTTAAACGATAAATTCTAGTTGGCCTTACGTACCCTATGAACGTGTTGTTCTGATACATTCCGTCTCACTTGCGACTTTACATCGTATGTTGTTGTCGCATGACTTACTAACTTGCATATTAAGATCATTTTAATATAACTCACTCAATGTCTGTAAATAACAATCAGAAAAAAGTTCGTTTTGCTACATCATCGTAATTGTTTTAAAAAAAATAAATATAACACACTTTGTAGATCGATATTTAGTCATTTCAAAACCTGTCGCTTTATACTAGTGTGTTCTATCGTACTAACTGTTTAAAAATATATATATATAACACACTTTGTAGATCGATATTTAGTCATTTCAAAACCTGTCGCTTTACACTAGTGTGTTCTATCGTACTAATTGTTAGTATGTGTGAAAAAAACAAAACTGTCACGTACTAAAATTAGGAAACGTTCACATAAGTCTTATAATTTCTCTGTTTTTCGTTTATATGTAGCACGAACGATTGAGGGAAGAGCTCATCAACCTTGACAAATACATTTTATATGTGCATATTTTGAAACTACGCACACACACAGTGATATATGTACACGTATAACTAGGTCGAAGCTAGTAAGTTATAAAAATTACTTTCTAAGGCGTTCCCAAACACGGATTGTAAATATGGTAGAAAAAATTATGTGACTGAGGATTTAAAGATGCCGTTAGGCTTTACTGAGTAAATTTATATATGTTTATGTTTAATCGGTAAAATCAATATATTGTACGAAATCTACCAATATACGGTTTGTTAAAAAAGGGTTGAAATTCTCTAGATTATTTGGGTAAGATTTGTTTGTTTTTCTTATAGCAAAGTCACATCGGGCTATCTGTTGTGGCCACCGAGGGGAATCGAACCCCTGATTTTAGCGTTGTAAATCGGAAGACTTACCGCTGTCCCAATATAGAAGAAGCATGTGTTTTCTTAGAGCAAAGTCACATCGGGCTATCTGTTGTGGCCACCGAGGGGAATCGAACCCCTGATTTTAGCGTTGTAAATCGGAAGACGTACCGCTGTCCCAATATAGAAGAAGCATGTGTTTTCTTAGAGCAAAGTCACATCGGACTATCTGTTGTGGCCACCGAGGGGAATCAATCGAACCCCTGATTTTAGCATTGTAAATCGG